GCCAGCTGCTGGGAGGACGCCGGGGTCGCGGCCGGGTGCGGAGGCTGGGAGTGGGCGCGGGACGAGCCGCCGCGGCGTCGCCCGAGGTGCATGCAGCTCAGGTGTGTGTGCGGGAGGAGGGAGTCCGCTCCCGCGTTTCGTAGTCCGAGAGTTTGCAAGAGTTTGCTTGGGAGAGGGCATGCTGGCTGGAGGAGTGGTTTTCAGTGTTAGTCGCGTCTGTACTGGGACAGTGTGGCCACCTGGGAGTTTTATTTTAATTGCAATTGCTTTGTAATCTCTCTCCTCCCCCACCGCCCTGGGCAAACCATGGAGTTTTCTGCAGTTGGACCTTTCGAGGAGAGGATAACAACCGGTCTAAAACGATAAAGATGGTGCATTTGTGACGAGGGATAGGTTTCCCTGTTCCCTCCTCACATAGAGCAGCGGTTCTCAACCTGTGGGTCGCGACCCCTCTGGGGTCGCCTAAGACCATCGGAAAACACATATATAATTACATATTGTTTTTGTGATGAGTCACTATGCTTTAATTATGTTCAATTTGTAACAATGAAAATCCGTCCTGCAGATCAGATGTTTACATTACGATTCGTAACAGTAGCAAAATTACAGTTATGAAGTAGCAACAAGAATAATTTTATGGTTGGGGGTCATCACAACATGAGGAACTGTATTAAAGGGCCGCGGCATTAGGAAGGTTGAGAACCACTGACATAGAGAAACTGTTGAAACTTGTACAGTGGATGTAGAAGTAATCCTGAAGGTTATTTTTTTGCTTCAGGTGTATGTTGCTTTCTATACTTACAGTACCTTAAGCACTAGATCAAGTTAATTTGCCAGGCTTCTAACATAAACTTTAAACTTTAGGGAGTGATTATACTTTTGTGTCTATTTGCCTGAACTTTTTATTTCTGCTTTTAAGTCGTATTACTGGAGAAGATGGAAAAGAAGTCATTATAGAAATTGAGAAAAAACTTCCTCGGTTATGTGAAGTTTTAAAGGTATGTGTCTCTCTTT